ATGTGGCCGCAGGGCACGTTCAGTGTTGCTACATGTCGTCGGTATGACAGGAATCATAACCTGATTCCTGTCAACTTTAACGATTAATATCTCGCGTCGCGGGGCAGAGCGACACTTTTTTCTGCCAGATTCGGTCGTTTCGTGCAAAAACGCGTCGAATGAGCCTAAATTCATCGTTTTTTGTGCTGCTGTAGCTAAACTGAAGAATTACCAAAATTGCAAATAGTTGCTATAGAAATAAGTAATCATAAAGTAAGTATATAAATAAGTATGTACATAATTATAAATAACCATAAAGTAAAATCATACAAACCAAAATATAACATAATTGTATCATACATACATGGGTGCTTTCCAGTTAGCTACACAAGTTGACACAGTAGTGTTTTGTTTCTTGTTGCTGGATGTTGGAAAGAGAAATTAGAATGATGGAATTAGAATGGTTGGAATTAGAATGACATTTGTGTTGACTTGTATTGCTAACTGAAAAGCACCCACATGCAATACAATACTAACTTTTATTTTTAATATGTGCAGAAAATCTTCTAAGATACCTGGCTTACATTTTATGTGATATTGAATAGTTCGTATACTTGGATAAGGCAAATTTTGTCGACGCATTTCCTCGTATCCTTTTTGTCCACAGGCCACGTATAATTTTAATGCTTTATTCATAGTCTCATCAGACCACGATGCTCCTCTTTGTGTGTTATTTCGGATAAACTTTAGTTGATCTTCTGTAAATACTTTTTCAAAATTATCACCTTGTTTTTTCAATTTTCTTTTCAATTGACTGCACTGCCGCAACGTTTTTTTCAACGTTATCTGTAAGTGCTTAATCTGTTCTTTTTCACTAATTGTACTTGATGCTGTTAATATGTCATTTGTTGCTGGAGTAGGCGTTGCTTCAGTGTTGATATCATGTTCCATTGCTTCAGTATTAGTTGCTTCAGTGTTGATATCATGTTCCATTGCTTCAGTATTGATGTCATGTTCCATTGCTTCAGTGTTGATATCATGTTCCATTGTTTCAGTATTAATTGTTTCGATATACGTTGCTTGAGTATTGGTATCGTATTCTATTGCTTGAGTACTGATTGCTTCGGTATGCGTTGTTTCAGTATTGATATCATAATTTAGTGTAGTATTGGTATCCAATATTGATATGTCAGTATGGATCATTGCAGTGGTTGTTTCAGTATTGATTGTTTCAATATGATCATCTACACATATTAATTTTTATTTAAGTAAATTAAATTAGAGTAATACATTAGATTATAAAAAAATTTTAATAATGTGTTTAGCTCTTTATATATCAGTATTATTGCATTGTGTAAAACTTACAAGATTTTCCTTTCTTTGCTTTACGTTTTCTCAACAAATTTGGTATTGCATTTGGGCGAAGCAGTTTTCTTTCATCTTGTCGAGCTTGTTCAAATTGGTTATCATCAAAGTGTACCTGTAATTTTTACTAATTATTATTATTGCAATACACAATGTTTCACACACGATTATAACTCATTAACTATACCTCACAAATAACAGACTTTGGTGACAATATTCTGCCTATTAATTTAATCCATTTTTCTCGTTTTTTTTGTCATTTTTTCCGCTTGGGATGCGAAATAAACGAAAACC